CGATCGACTTACGAAACACGCTCATACTGTTGTAGTTTAGGGCTTGATATAGAGCCGCTCAAGCAGCCTCCAAACGGGCTGACTAAGGAGGGATAATAAGTCAGGAATGGCCATCACTCCTGTATGGTACTCATAGATGATTTGGCAGATTTTGAGTAATTTATATTGACCCAACCGTAAAAAACTCGGCGCCTCGGTGGGATTCGAACACACGCAATGTGGGTTTGAGACGGGCTTGTGCTGAAGTACTTGACTACTTGACCTTTGACAATCTTGTCACGTTTGTCTTACTGTAGCATTTGTTTTAACGTGACGAAGACTCCGCCGCTTGTAAGCTTCGCGCCGCTTGCGTTCTCTCTGGTCAGGTCGTTGCACATTTTGAATATTAACTTTATTCACTTACTGGCCTTCCTTACCTCTCTCCGTTTATATGGTTAGTAAGCCGTAGTTCGTTTGTTCGCGGGAACGACATAACATACGTCAATTCTGGTCCCTGTTGGGGCTTTGCTGCTGTTGTTGTTGTTGGCGGAAAACATCCTGGTCATTTGCTGTGTGGACCAGGGGGTGTGGTGGCACACCTTGGTGCTGCCCCGGTTGTGCCAGCCACCTGCGACCTCCCCCCACCTCCGGTCTTCTTGACTCTGTCTTGACACCGGATCCAGGTTTGGGAGTGGGGAAGAGAGAGTGCGGTAGATGCTGCGCAAGTCCGCTATTACTATAAGCTAATTTACGCGCAATTCACCGTCCCTGCTCTCACCTTGCAGTGGAGCACACGGCGGACATCGTCGAACTCGACGGTCGAACTATTGGGTCGACTGCTCGCACCATACTTGCCAGTTCACTTAATGCCACAGCCAGTCGACCGACAGGCTTTGTGGGACGCTGGTGTGCGAGACTGATACTGAGTACACTTACTTGTGATAAACGTGTGGATTTCTCCCTTATAATAAATTTGGTGCGCTCAAACCTTACATGGGGCAATACGTATCGCGGTTTGAGTGGCTGCTATCGAACGCGATATCTTGACCCTTCTTTGTAACGAGGACCAAACTGCGATGACACCATTTTTGTGTTAACTCTACAAAATTCTCCATCATTTGCGATCTGAGACCCTGCATCGAGTACCGGTTCCTGTGCGGCTGATCTCATCAACAGACATCCGACAGATGCGCCGTGACCGCCGGCACATGGCAGACTGAGTGAGGTTGATATCGTGTTACACTTTTTCACGACAACTGAGTGTATCCTTCTTGCTGCAATAGACACGACCAGTCATGACGTACGGCAGATCGTGGCTTACCGTGCTCCTATTGTTTCCGATGGCCATCATTACGGGGCCTCAATACCCCACTGCGTCAAGGTCATTTGCATTCCCAAAGGGGCGGTTTCGGACGCTCAGCCTGACCGGTTTCATCTGGGACACGCTGTGCACAGACAGCCACGGTAGCCAATCCCCCCGTTGAACACGCCATCCCTCCGGCTAGTGTAACACACACCAAGCGAACAACACCTGAGTTTGCCCCAAAAACACATTAAAGTAACTGCCACTACTCGTCTCACGCTCGCAGGCATGACTCGACATGGTTCAGTGGTTAGGGATGTTGGACAACCGTCAATAATGCGAGTGTTCTGCCATACAAATTTGTGTCCAGTGTGTGCATGACCACTTGGTATAGATGGTCGCGTCTCTTCACCGCTAACTGATGTTCATGTATACGGGTTGAGACAAATTTCCCAGTTGGGCCACAATAGACGGCATAAAAACTGGAACATGGGGTTTTGTAGACGACAGCTTTTCTTTCGAGGTAGCAGCCTCACAGCGACGCATGATATAGGCAGAATGGGCTCAAGAGGGCCCGTAAGGCACAACGGAACGAGTGAGTTTCGTAAGAACGATCGGGAAGCGCCCCTCCACCATTGGATATTCGCGATCGCAACCGACTGGACAACGAGTCCGTAGCCTGGTGGTTAGAGGCGTTGGACTTCTAAGTCACTGGTCGCGAGCTCGAGCCTCGGTTGCTCCACACTTCGGGGTTGGGTATGACTGGCTGACGACGGCTAATAAGCCAGAAATGACCATTCTAGTCCCCCTTGTCGTTGTCGGTAATAACATTCTGCCTATATCATGCGCCGCTGTTGGGCTGCTGGTGGGACTCGAGAGAGAGAGAGAGAGAGAGAGAGAGCCAGTAAGGCACAACGGGACGAGTGAGTTCCGTAATACGACCGGCGAGCGCCCCTCTACCATGACATGACACCGTCAGCACATGTCCAGCGGTCAGCAGCCACTGCATTCTGAGACAGAAGCTGTGAGTTCTCTCCCCAGTGATTCCCGTCTTCGCTTGCTAATCGAAACTTAACTTAATGATTGTGACTTCCTGAGTACTCGAATTAGTTGGAGGACACACTGTCTAACTGCATATTTCGGTCTTCCTTTGAAAGGCTGGTCAAACTACGATGGTACCTTGCCCGTGTGGCCTATTGAACATTCGTGTTGTTTCCTGAGATTTTAGACACTCGCATTTAGTACAGGCTTGTGTGTTCTTACGCGTCGGCTCGCGCATGGCACGCGTAGACGCGTCCTCAGCCACCACTCACCAGTTCACTTCTTTATCTGTATTTTCGCGCATGGGCACGGATCAGCGCATACACGGCAGGCGTCGACGCGGCTTTGGCCTCCGCAGAACTTGCTCCTACAGGATCTCCAGTCCCGCAGACTTTGCCTCGCTACTGGAGGACTGTGAGAGCTGAAAGATAAAATGAGGTTGCGGCAGCGTAAGTCTGCTACATCACAAACAATCTCATGCGCACGTCGCCACAGGGCCCTCCCTCCTACCCTCCTCCCCAGACAGCAGTATTTCCCACACCGATTAGGATAGATTAACTATCGGTAGGATGGCATCTGAAAGGTCCCACAAGTCGCTAACCAGGAAACCCTCCCTACGCACAACGAGGATAACCGCAAGAAGGAGAGACAGGAGAGGCCGCCGGGGTGGAGGAGTTGCCATGTATATCAAGAGCAACTTAGCAGTGTGTGAGAGGACCGACAAGATTTCTAACGATACAGAGGCAATTTGGCTGACTATAAAGGCGCGGGGATCTCAGTCCCTCGAAGTCTTAACTGTCTACCGGCCCCCGCAGGCAGATCCCGACCCAGATACTTGTCTACTGAAAAGCATAAAAGAGATCGCCAGCCGACCAGACGTTGTTATCATGGGGGATTTTAATGCACCATGCATTCAATGGAGCGATATGCATGCGAAATGCTCGATGAATACCTTCGATTACCATTTACTAAAGACAACTCTTGAAGCTCTACTCACGCAACATGTCCTGTTTCCAACTAGAGCTCGTGGAGGGCAACAGGCCAGTTGTCTGGACCTCGTTTTTACCAAAGATCCTGACAGTATAGACGAGGTGTACTACCTACCCCCGCTCGGTCGAAGT